GACATTGTCCATTCTTTATAAACAAACAGGGCTGCAACATAGGCTTGTCCAAATAGGGACTCTTAGGAAAGTTACTGTAAATTCACTTTTAAAATAAATGTTACATTGCATTAAACATTTTTGTGAGAACATATTTCTTAAAAACTGAAAAAGGCACTAATTTGATGTTGCATCGTTCACTTTAGAGTGGAAACAAAGAAGACTTAAGGCTGCATTTTAATTCTGAAGGAAAATATCCTAAGAGATCTAAAGCAATTCAGTAGCAAATCCATACCTTTTCTTAATTTGGATTAACTATCCTAAGTGATATGGGCAGACAAACACAATCATACCTGGCCCATCATCAATTCTCTTTCATAGTTGAGGAAAATCTGCAAGACCTCAAATTCTGAGTAACCACCCGAGAAGGGGGGTGAGGAGGAGGGAAGAAATCTTGCAGATAGCCATCTGCCAAGAAATACACTCTGGAGCTGCAATTCACATATGGGAGTAGTAAATTAATGAAAAGAAAGCTTGCTCGCTTTCAGTCTGTATTTAGTATTATACTATAACCACAGTCAATAAGAGGCAAGATAACCATTTGATCTACAGGGAGATAAACCATTTTCTCACAAAGAAAGCTCCTAAACTTTGTAATTGGTAACAAAAAAAAAAAAAAAAAAAAAGCTCTTTTGTGAACTCAACTCTAGAACGAGCATTCTCTTTAAGAAATTAAAGAAATCCACATGGGAATTCTTCCAGCCACTAGGACACAATATGTGTCTCAGGAAATAGTACCATCCTTTAAGAAACAGTTGGCCTAATGTGGCTATAAGTACATTTATGAACTAGGGCCTTTGTTTTCATATTTTCAAAGCATCTGGATGAAGATGAGAAATTCTCACTGGAAATGGTTGAATCTTCTCAAAAGTTGTATACAAATATGTATACAAACTGGCTTTTTAAAGATTGTATTTTTGTCAATTTTTTTATTTAATTTTTAAAACAGCATCAGAAATGGTCTTCCTTCTTCTTTCCATTCTTTTCAAGACTCAAATGGGGAGAAAGAAAAAGAGAAAAAGGGAAACCCTTAATAAAATAGTGGTGCCATACTGGATCAGACTCTTCAGTCTACAATGTCAAATATCCCGTTTCTGATATAGAAATACTCTGCCATTGATTAGGCTAACATGATTTACATGAATTACCACTACTTTATGTGAATAAGAAACAGACATACCTGGAAAAACATTATCAATGTACCAAGAAAGGATTCCATACAGAAAAGCATCAAAAAGCATCATTTTAATGGAAAATAGAAAGCTATATTCATCTCCTTCCAAGGGACTGGTTCTGATATTACCCCACTGTAGGCCAAGACCTTGCTCTTCATAGCGTGACAAATATTCTGTGCCAAAACCAAAAGCTACTTGAGAAAGCAAACTCTGGAATATAGGAAAAATGACATATCAGACAGGAAAAATTCTGTAAGGCAAGTACAAAAAAGATTATTTTTATGGAGTGGACCATGAAACTTGATAATATATAGGACTGGGATGTTTAATCCTCCGAATGGTAGCAATTCTAAGCTGTATTTAGCCATAAAAGACTGGATTCAACCTTGGCTCTACTTCCTTTGGCTATAAGGGAACTGCACAGGTTCTTTTTCCCCTTAATATCTCTGCTTTGTAAATGCTAAAGATGGGTCTAGAAGTCTGCAGTGTGCACTTTGCCCGTCTTAGAGGAATAAAATGTTTCTTCAGTGTATGGGGCAGGGCCATGAACATAATGTGCTAAAAGTAGTGTTTGTTTTTCAGCAATCCATTCATTGTCCAACTACTTCAATTTTCTCTAAAAAGTTTCATTTTTTCTTCAACCCCCCCCATCCCATGCACAACCCTCTCTACACACCTTGTAGTTAGCTCTTCTTCAGGGACTAACCTTTGAACAACAAATATAAGACCAAACATATCAGGAACAGAGGAAAACATTCAGAATTTCTGGTCAACAAATATCCTTTCTCATATTGCTTTATACCTTTGACTTCCTCCTCCTTTAGGGTGAGAAGAGAATCAAACCCTTCTTTCTGCTCACACTGTATGTCAGTCTCCAGCTTTCCTCCCAAATCAGGACCTGTCAAGTGTTAACCTTACTCATTTCCTGATTTAACGATAGGATCAAGTTTTGCATTTTATTGCCTTTATCTATAGAACTAGAAATGTTATATGCTAAACACATGCAGTTAGAAAGCTGATTCACAGCCATATTTACCCCTAATTACATCTGTCAAAGTAACTGTTTTCTCTTTCTTTTTGCATCAGATTTCCTAATGCAAGAGGAGAAGAGAGCACCTTTGTTAGAAGGTTGTTAGAATACTCGGTAGAGACGGATCTTTCAAATCCCTGCAGCTTTCTGATTCATTGAGCTACAGAAAATCAGCATAACTGATTCTGTAAGTTCACAGCTTCACTTCAAAACAGAGCAAGAAGTTTCCAGCTCCAGTGAATAGTTAACTATTTTATGTATAATGGAAGAGACAACCAATGAGGAAGCTTTACATGGGGAACGGCCTACAGCTTGTTAGACAGAAAATATATGTCAGAACTATAGCACCTGGGTTCAGATCCTCACTTGAAATTCAGGCAAAGGAGGAGTGTGAGCCTGGGGTCCTCTCATCCTTGGAAATTACCCTATTAACTAGGTTATAGGAGATGAGGAAAACAACTGTTCCCGTTTTCTGACTTCCCTTTGTATTTATTAAACATACCAGAAGTAAAATTTGTTCTGCCTTATAGGAAATGTTTTGAACTTGGAGCATTATGCTGATTTCCTCGCATTCAAAAAATAAAATAAATTTCGTGGAATTTTCTAAAAGCCATGAAAACATCTCCTGGTGACTAGACTCACTGAAGGCTTATTCACTTGCAATCTCTGTTTGACAAGAGATGATACTGCTCAATCAAAAAAGCAGAGAGAGGAGGTGGTGTGCAGGACTTTGTTACTCATACATGGACAGAGCAGAGACAGTGAGGAGGACACAAAGATACCAGATAATCAGAGAAAGGCTTACTGCTAGGATCTTCAGATTAACACTCATGTGGTCTTGCCAGACAAAGCAGACAATGTGGGGCAGGTACAAGGTGAAGTAGATGACTCCACTGCAGGCAGCAGCCAGATTTGCTTTAGAGAAGAAGGTGCTGAACAAGAAACACTGCATTATTGTGGCTGTTGAAAATGTCAGTAGGAATAGGAAGAAGAGAAGTGGACTGCTATACTGTAGCACTTGGCCGCACTGTAAGCAAATGGAAAACAGATACCTTTAGAAGCATTGCCACTTTCTGAACCAGCAGAAAAGGTCAGAATTACCATTGACATGTAACCTGTAACGAGTGATAAGTTAGTCTTACCTAACATGTTTTCTAACTCTCCCCAGGCAGTAATGTTTTAACACTTATCGGCATTACAAACATAAAACCTTGATCTGACTTTATCCCTGCTCTCAGATTACAACTTCAGGTTAGCATCACAGGCTGCTTTGCTCATATTCATATTTGATAACTGAATTTAGTTCATAAATGATTGAAAACAGACATTCTGGTCATGTCTTAACATACAAATGGTTCCAAGCAAAATGTGCCTGCATGGAAATTCACACATACTAAATAAAGCTATCTGAACTGTCATAATAAATTTTCACTGATCTCTTCATATTTTGTCATCAGTCCCCTTGTTCACTGTTTAGGGAAGATGATGTAAGGAAGATTGACAGAGTGCATTCTTAAAAAAAAAAAAACTAACAGGAAAATTATAAAGCACTGTTTTTTGCACCTAAGTGATACTCAAATTCTAGGAGGCTATCACAGCTGAGGAAACCAACTGCAGTTTCCCAGAGCTCCTTGTGTACTAAATAACCCTCTATGTGAACTTTTACAGGTCTTTCTTCTTTAGAGGTTTTGTAGATTGAAGGAAGAGCATGGACCACAGCTGATTATCTATTTACTCCTAAAAATAATGCTGAGCCTTATAAATAGTTCACAACATTTTTGTACCATCCCACTTGGCCTGTGAGGATTTCTTTATCAACAAAGAGGTAGTGCTACAACCTTTCATTAGAATGTATTTATATCACACAAAGGTGCCTCACACAGGCATAGTGAAGCCTAGAAAGGGAAGTGAATTATAGGTATAAGCACATTGCTCACTAGTATTAACTACACCCTGATTTTTAATCAAACCAGTGTGGCAAATAAACTCGGGTTTCTCTACCCACCCAAGCTGTATCAGAACTGCAAAGAACTAGAACAACTCATCAGGGCAGGTTGATTAGATGGAGCAGATTGAATCCTAACTATGCATTTATAATGATATCCGTTCCCCATGTCAGAAGAGATGCCATGCATTCTTTCCTATCAAAATGTTACAAATTTATACAACAATATAACTAACATAGCTACCAGAAGCTGCTTCTCAGCTAAGAGATGAAAGGTGGGCCTTAAAGACTAAATCCAAACTAACATAAAATGTTACAAAATATTGCAGCAATTCTGATTCATAGGATCAACAGGATATTTCCCAGGATTTTTCCCCCCAGGCAGGGAGGGCTGTGTTCTGCCCTTGCAGTGTCTCTTTGCTTTGCAATATAATAAATGGATTAAACATGGTGAATTACAAGATTAGGAGTCTTCATACTATGATCATTCCTATCTAAAGCCGCAATTCTTATTTACTGGGAGATCTGCCTCTGTCTACAGAAAATACAGTATACAGAGTAACCAGCCTGATGTATTGTTCTGGGGAGGATCTCGCAATAAATCTCACTAGCGAATTTATCTTTCTGTCTCTGCCAAGTGCTAATGCTGTCATGAGGTCTGCTTACAAGAATGTGCCTGCTCTGTACTGTGATCAGAACAGGCCACCAGCTGTTTCCATCTCCCCATGAATGGCTACTATTGTTTTTCACCAGCAAACTGGTATCAACCATGCAAACACAACAGTAAGTTTGAGAGTTTCTACTATCATCCCTGTGGTAATCCTTACCATAATCAGTGCTGTGAGGAGGAATGTGCTCCCCGTCATCATGATGAAGCTGTCTAGGAACCAAGTGCACCAAATCACTCCATTAGCAATGCCTCTGTTCTTCATAGCCTCTTTCAGACGCATTTCCTTCTCCAGCACTATACTCTTCACAGTCATGGAAACTGAATAGATCCAAGCTAGCACCATGAAGATGGGAAAGGAGCGGTTTAAGGTGATCATGAAGCTGCCCAAGCAAGAAGAGAAGAACGAATAAAATTTAGGTAAAATGGAAGTGTTAAGATGAAAGGCAAGAACGAAAAGGAAAAGAAGTGTGGAAAAATAGTGTATGCATTTATGAAACACAGGATTGGAAGTTCTCGGACTAAACGTTGATAACATAGCATTAATGGACTTCACAAGCAACCCAAGTATTAATGAACTACTCCCAAGAGACAGATAAATGTTATTCCCATTTTACAAAGAGGTTCTAAAGGTTGCAGAAAGCTACAGAATATGTGGTGAGGCATGGAAATACATCTCTCTTCACAGTGAATTGCCACAATGGTTTTACTATAACGCACAAAAGAGTATTTTAGAATACTTGCTAACAACTTGGGAGTGTCATTGTCGTCTTATGTTCCCAAGATTCACCGCTAAAAAAATTATACAAAAATGATGTATTAAAAGTACAGCATGCTGCCAACAAGACCGCTGAAATTCATGCAAACCACGACATGGGGATTTTCTTGGGACTGCCTTGTACGGTACTGCCTCCAAAACAGCAGTGATGGGACAGGCTGCTCGGGGTGACCCTCTGTGTACAGTGAGAAAGGCGCTGCTCTCTCCCTTTGTCCTTCCCCCTGGACTCTATGTTTGCTTAGTCCTTGCATAGACTTCTTGGTGAAAGAAGACTGCTCGGAGTGTGCTGTTAGAGGTGAAGAGATTTTGGAGGGGAAGAAGCTAAAACCATTTTGTGCCAATTTTGAGATTGCAATTTTTGAATGAGATTACTTTAAAAAGTCCAAATGGGCTTTATTCTTTAAGGTCCAAAAGCTAAGAGCTGCTAAAAATTAAAAGGAGTAAAAAGCCTTTAGATTCCTATTGTGAGCCTTACAGAACTACATTTTTGCTATATGTTATCATAGCTACCTCATTGTGAAAAAAGACAAAGTCTTCACTTTTTCACTAAAAATTCCTGAAGAGCAATCTGGCCTGTAGAAACAAAATTGTAGTTCTGTGAAATGGCTTGGAAGCTTGGGACACACCGGGTTTGCCTGTTGGTGGACCCACACAGCCCAGTGCCAGGGCACACACAGCACAGTGTATACATTTACCATGAGGATGCGCTTGCTTCGTTTAAGGAGGCTCTCTGCAGAGGCCATCACTAGGTTTGGATGTCAGCCCTGGACTGTGCGTTGCTGCTGCAGGCTTCAGAGAGCTTTTGCACAGATGGGGTTTGTGCCCCTGAAGTGTTCTCAGCAGTCAGGAAGTAAACAGCAGGCTTGCCTGGGTGACTTTTGGTCAGGCTAACACATAATTACTGATGGGGAATGACAGGTCAAATGATGCATCTCTGCAATCCACAATTAACTGAAGTACTAGCATTTGCCTACACAGAGCACACTGACAGAACTGTGAAATAATTTCTATAGGACTCTTTTGGGGGAGTGAGATTTTCACGGAGGGGATTTATATCAGGACAGTTGCAGTAGCACAGTTCTACCAGCCAAATCTTAGCACTGGAGTAAGCACACTGTAAATAGGGAGGTAGCACCACTTCACATAATCCACACCATGCAGGCTGATTCAGGCAATGTTAATGGGGGTCATAGCCTCCTCCCTACTCATGAGATCTCCATGCCCATGAGGACTCTCTTTTTATGTTACAGAGCAACCAACTTTCTCCTTTGACTTTGTCCCACTCTTCACCAAGGAAGGAAATTCCAGCTGCATGCAGTAGTGAACCTGAAGTGACAGTCCTGAAATCCCTTGGATTTACATGAGATTTTAGGCAAAATCAGTCAACCCTCATAAAAATCCATGGGCTGGAATTAGGGAAAAGAAAGTTAGAGAGGATTAGGTTATTGTTGAAAGCTGTAGCATCCACAAGGGAAGGAAAAGGGCTGCTGTTAACAGAAAGTAGTGCCATACATTTCAGATACTAGTCATGTAGTTATAAATGGAATCAGGTTTAGGGATGAGGTTAGGATTATGGAGAGAAGACGTTTCAAGAGTCTAAATTGTCTTGGGACTCTGCAAGGCCTGCAGACAGCTGGTGTCTTCAAGAACCAAAACCTACAGGTTTGTCTGGGTATTGGTATAAGCTAGATTTAAACAAAACTAGGGTGAGGGTTTGGCAAAAGACTTGAAAAGCCTGGGTTATTGTTGCATTCTTCAAGACTTACAAGATAACATGAGACAGCAATTCCACTGGGACCAATTTTTACGTTCAGTTTTGCTTTAGGAAACGTTATTAGAACATAATGAAAGCTGTTATTAGGGATTAGGGTTTTAAGAGGCTTAGGACTGTTTGATGGATCCTGCGCAGTTAACAGAAGGAGGCAGTGTTGGTTCTAGCACTGGTCAATGTTTTGTGTGTTCAGTTTTGCTAGAGGTACTGGTTACACACTATAGAAGGAGGCTTAGTTTTAGAGTTAGGTAAAAACTTTTGAGAAATTCATGGAAAGTAAAGCCTAAAGAGTTTTTTTTTTTCTCTCCCTCTGATTTCGTGTGAGATGCAAAATCAGGAAGAAGACTCTTACTGCTAAGAGGCCAGTGTCCCATGTTCATTTTTGGTCTGGACTCTGGTTATCTGGATACAAAAAATAGGCGAGGGTTGGAACTAGGGGTAAGGTTGTGGACAAAGAAAGCTTTTGGGAGCGCTAGTATGTTCACTTATTGGTCTTGCATGTATGATTTAGGACTGGGGCTAGAAATGGTGTTTGGGAGTATTAAAGTACACACAGAGAGGATTTATACCAAGGCAGCTGCACTAGCACAACAATCCAAATATTCATCAAAATTAAGGCTGTAAACTGCTCTTACTCACACATCATCCACAAAACATGGATATGGCATTTGCTGCAGATAAATTCCTAGTGGCACTTCAGTGTTGGTCTGGGTCTTTATAATCCCATGCTCAATCATGTCTTGGAGATACGCAAACCCTCCCCAGATGTAACGTAAGTCATCCACAGGATCAGCTCTTGGACCAGGATCCCAGTACCTAAGGAGAAAACCCAAACAGAAATCACTTGGGTAAGCAGCGTCTGGGTGGGGATAGGGGAGGAAGGGGGAAATCTTAGCCACTGAACTTGTAGGGGCACTACCTGCAGCTGCCCTTTCTAGATTTCATCCTGTCAGACCACACTGCTTGAGAAAGTAAATGACCTGGAACATACTTTTATTTCCTTTAATTTTCCTCTACACTTATATAGAACAGCAATTTTAGCCCTAAATTTGCCTAAATTAATCATGTAGCAGACTAACTGTTCTGGAGTAGAAATAACTGTATTGAGAATACAGTATACTTGGAGATTAAACTGGAACAGCTGGAATGGAACTAACAGATACCATTAAATCTCTCTGTGCAGACAAGCTTGAGAAATCATTTTTGCTATCCCTTTAAAAAGTGAGTCCAGTGGAAAGGGGACCTGAAGAGAAACAGCAGGGAAGTTCTGCTGTCCAGGGGGAGGAGAGCTGGGTCACAATACACATAGTACTTCCTTGTCCGTCCCTCCCAATGATGGAGCCAATTAGAAACTTTGGGAAGGGGAACTTCAGGCAGGTTACTGAACAGGTTCTGAGCAGAGTCATTCCCTTTACCATGCATCCATGCATCTACCCACTACCTGGCTTAATTGTCACAAGAGTGACACCACTTATGTCAGTGAGACATAGGTAACTGGAGATGGATTCTACTCTGCGTTACATACTAAACATCAGTGAATGCAGTTTGATTTCATGTATGTATCCAAGGCAGGTTGTAAGGTCCCTATGCCTCTCTCATTCATTTGATGGCAGGTAAGAACTGAGAAGGAACCATCACCCACCTGTCTTTGATTTTGTTTGTTTTCTCCACTGCATCTATGTCCATCCGGATCTTGTATTTCACATGTGATGGAAGAATGTTGGCTCCGGGCTCTATGTCAGGAAAAACCACTCCAGCCCAGAATTTGTTTTCTTCTAGCAAATGCAGAGCTTGACGAGTCAGTTGGGTTTCATCAAGATGGCCTTCAAATTTATCCAAGGTTAAGCACTACAAATAATCGCAAAGAAAACAATCGCATAGGAATAAGTTAGCAGGAGGTTATGTTAAAGCACACGTTGCTGGCTGAGAATAGGAGAGGAAGGTAGGTTAATCTGAAATAGGTGTCATTTTCAGCTGTAAATGTTTGTGCTAAAACAACAGAGACTACAAGCCGATTCTCCCCTCCACCATGAAGATTCCCCCTTCTTAGCTTAATTCTTATGACAAATTCAAAGCACACAACCTTATCAGTCCAAACTCAGAAACAACATTAACCTTAAATGACCTATAAACCTCAGATTTAGCCTTAACATAGTCAATGCGAGTAGACAGAACTATTTTGAAAGAGGCTTTTTAAAACAGCTCGTGAAACTAAGCATCTTCCTAGGAAGAGGAGACAATGCTAAAATCCACCCTTCAGCCCTATATATAATCAAGAGGAGCTCTCCTCTATTTAGAGTAGAGTAAAGACCAAGCTATCTCAGTCATTATGATAGTGAATTTCTTAGCGTAACTCTCATCCCTGAGATTTCTTCTTTTTTAACCTTTGCACAGTATGGCCTTTGAGAGAGTTTGGGGAATCAAATTGGGGAGCTTTTTGAAAACAAGAGCCTTCAAACAGAGAGGCAGAAAAAACGAAAAGCAACTACATGTAACAGATCATTCTAGCATCTCTTATCTGGCCTGATAATACCAGTCTGATAACAGAATGTCCTCAATGTACAGATGAGTGAAAAAATCTGGCCCTCCAGACAGAGTGAAGCAGCCATGCTACCATGGCTACCCTGCCCGATTCTAGTCTTCGTGGTTCTTTAAACAATCCCCAGCAACACTATTTGGTTTCCCAGACTAATAACTATCTTGCAGGTGCTTATAACACTGACTCCTCTGCAGATATAGTGACAAAACATTGCCTTGATCACCAGCGCTGTAAATCAGAAAAATCTTTTGTAGTGCCTGCTCACAGCTGAGTGTGCTGTGTTGTGCTGGCTGCCTAATAGGGCCAAGGAAATGTCCTCATCCTTCCTGTGTAAATTAGCTTCAATTTAGATGTTAGAGAGGAAATGTAGGACTGCTGCACTGACATTCCTATTAGCATCAAATTCGCAGATGCCCAGTTTATACCCTCTGCTCAACACCTCAGAATTAAACCGATCATTAGACTTAGGGTCAGAAGAGAATTTTCTCTTCATCTCAAACTGGCACTAACATCATGGGTGACCACAGGTGGCTTCCTAGAATTACAGCCATCAAACCTTACATCCACTAAGGCAGGAGCTGCTGTTGCCATATAAGATAGACAGGGAAAATTCGGATGCGCCTGTACAAAACATATAGCTGGTACTAGGTTGAGCAGAAGTTGTGGTGCCATGTTTACTAAATAGATCGAATGGAATACTTTCCTAAAATTTATTTAGGGTGCTGTAATCACTCAGCCATGGAAATGTGAACTATCACTTGGATTATACTGGAAAGGTTCCCTTAAAAAGAAAAACAACCGAATCAGAAGGGCTGAAGCTGCAGCACAGACTAGGTCCTGGTATAAGGAATTGCATCTCCTGTACACAGACTGTGAAGGCAATCAACACAGCTATTAAATAGCTTTTTGTCACTCCTGTTGAATCAGAACACTACCTTTTTTTCAAGTTTTTGGACATTTTTTCAGTCTAGGCAATCTCTGAGTGAACACCACGGAGGTAAAGGATGACTGATCCTTAAGTAAAGCATATTAGCCATGGATCTGCAGTGCTGGCAGATCAGAGCATAAATTTGATTCTTAAAGTCTCGGTTATTTAGGAATTTTACTTTCAACTTATTATTTAATGTCAGTCAGCTAGTCAAATGATGTTACTGATAATATTGTGTTCCTACTGAATTCTGCTATGTGATTAACCTGCTGGATTAAGTTAACAAGATCCAACTGGCTCAATAATTAAAACGTGGTTTAACCATCACGACAAACTATCTTCTTTCTTAGTTTCCATCATTACAGTAAAGTGTACTACTATTAATTCGTATATAAGACATCAAGTCATCAAAATACCTAATCCTTTAAAATGTAACCCATTTTCCTCCTATTTAACAGACATAAGACTAGACTGTGAATTCTACAAAAGCTGTCACCAGCTACTTGGAAAGTTACATTTGTATTTTAAATTTGCATCTCCGGCTTCTGCATTCAAGAATTAGCAAGGCATTACCAGAGAGTAGATGTATTTAACCCCCAGACTGACTGAGAAAATGTTTATTTAATTACCTCACTTCATAAAATACTCAGAGGTTAACTTGTCTGATCTTATTTTCTTGATCATCTCTTGCAGGTCAATAACCAGAAATTACTCTACAACAAAGTGCTTTTGGAGGCAGCTTTTTACCTAGTGGGCAGATATCACACAGAATCACACAGAATATCTTAAATTTGAAGACTCCTTTGTTTAATCTTTCCCTCTGATAAATGCTTTGCTTTTTTAAAAATTGAAGTATACTTGTAACAGTTTCAGTTTTATTATTCATTTCTACTGATGAGATTCTGAAAGATCATCTCACAGTTTAACGGGATCTATATGGAAATATATTTTAACTGGCAGGAAAACAAAACAGTACTTAGATTGACAACACTTATTTTGTAGCTTTGACTGACATAGCATCCTTCTGAGCATTTTGTTTCAAACTTTTTGCAAATATTCTTTCTCCTAGTCTTCTTTATAAAATTAAGCTACATAGAATTTCATCTCAGAAAGGAAGATAAGGCATAAAAAGTTACCAGTTTGTAGGTCAGAAAAGAATGCAGATTAGCTCAGGTTGTATTAATTTTTTCTTTTTTGGTTATGTTTATCCCCCACAGTTTCTGAGTTCTGAAACTCAGTTTAGTTCTAGTGTTTCCGTAGCAAAGTCCTGTTGTGTTATTGTGTCTTCACAGTGTCTGGGAGACTATTTGCTGTTTATTTGTGATGAGGTGGACTGGAATTCAGTTCAAGGTACTCATGTCAGCTGCAGAATTCATCTAGCTCTCCATAGGAATTTATGGGAATGGCGCTATATTCACTGCAGAATAGACAGTGCTTAGACCACTCTGAGAAGCAGTGTAGGTTCTTACCCAGATGTTGAGTCAGGGAAGTAACAAGGATTCAAAATACAAAAAACAAGTGCTTATGGGTGCTCTGTGTAAGTAACACATCTTTACCTGCAGTCAGAAAGATACAGGATAAGAAGTAACTCCTGGCCTCAGTTACACAGCCCTGGGAAGCAACGGATGCATGAGTTTGCCTATCACCTTTTTTGCACTGGACTTGTTTGTCTGAGTCTAACGGATTCATCAGTAAGTTATAGTTCATGCCAGAGCAGCCTCTTACTAAAAGCATCTTCCCAAGTATTTTCTTGAATGCTGGATATTTTCAGCTCACCAATATGGGAGAGATGAAAAGAAGAAATAAATTATATCTGTACTGCTTCAGCATTCAGGAGTCGCTGGAAAAGTCTATCACAAATACATTTTTAGCTCTTTTTACTCTTGTAATGAAACTGCACCTCACTTCCTGTGCTGTGGGGCTCTTAAACAGCCTGAGAGTGCCCTATTAAAAACACAGTGCCCCTAGAGAAGGAGGTAGTATACAGGCGGGTACACCTTCCAGGAAGCAGGCACAGACACCTTGTCAGAAATGGCTACAGAGCAAGTAGAAATTCTCTCATTGGTTTTGAAGGACATTCGATTAGGTGCTTAACATAATGGAGCGAGACATTCCAAAGAACTTTGGGCTTCTCTCATCCCGCTCCTGTTGAGATGAGTGGCCTATCAAGAATTAGTACTTACGAAAAAAAACTTTTCCTTGAGATTCTTGCATTTACTTCCTGTCTCCGAATGAAGTTTGATCAGAGATTCAACCAAAATTTTTGAATATAGCATTTGTGGATCTTCAGATTAAAGTTTTTCATAACAATTATTTATGTTCTTATGCTACTGTGTTATTTTAAAACGTGCTTTTAATACAGAGATGAGATTTGAAACAAATGAATACATCTTACGATTTTAACCTTGGCTGTTGCCACAGATCCCGACCCTGAGTACTGCCTACTCTGTCATAAGACGTTTTCTCAAAGTGTTCCCAGCAGCAGGAGGGCTGGCCTTACCTCCAGATACTGACTGAACAAACGTAAAGCTTGATCTGCAACACTGAAGATGTTCCGCCAGTCAAAGTCTGCCATTCCCTTCTCCCGGCTCCCTGGGGACCCATTGTGGAGAAAGTTGATTATGTCTTCAGCAGTTAAGCCCTCAGCACTGAGCTGGCTGTTCAAGAAGTCCCTCACTGTAGGGTGCTTCAGAGAGTCCTGGGGAAACATATCAGGCCAACTTCACTACAATGTTTCTCTTCATGTTCCATGTAGACAAAAAGGGCTTCCAGTAACTTTCTGAACTATGAATTAGTACAAAAGACTATGCCAAGGAACGAATTCTGTAAAGGGGCAGTTACATAGTTGAAATGGAGATGAGACTTGAAGAAGGGATAAAAAGGGATTTATCCTTTGACTATTAATCGCTTTTTTTGCTTATGAGCAAGAAGATAAATGTAATAAATATCTAATATAATGGAGTGTGGAAAAACAAATGTTTTCTCTAGCATGACCTACTGTACAAACAATATTTGCAGCTGATCAGGGCCAGATCTAAGTGAAGATAAAATAAGCTTCCTGTTTCCCAGGTCAGTAAACTGCTGGGTCAAGCAAAACACGGGCCTGCTGCCTTCTTTACATATGCTGAAAGTCAAGTTGTCAGCTCTTGAAGGAAGTTTTGGAGAGGAGGGGCAGCACCAATGGCTGCCTTCATGCAGAAGCCATTACCAGACTCTAGAGGTTCCCCATATCTAAGGATCTGTCCTGGATTTTCTATAATGCACTGAAGATTAGTCTTTAAACCAAGCCCAGTAACCATAGTCCCACAGCCTTAAAGGCCACAGATTCTTTGCCGCAAAGACTGTGCTTCCAGTCAAACCTTCCAAATTAATGCTTAATAAAGGATGGTGAAAGGCTGCTCTTATTGTGGCTCCTTACTAAGCTACTACATACGCGGATCATGTTCATTTGCAGGCTGTTTTGAAAGAAGTGCCACAGCTGAGGTCCTACTTCTTCCCAGGCTTTGGTCAACAGTCTGAGGCGTTCAAGTTCCTCAAATGTGGAGTTTGCCTGAAGAATAAGAAAACAGAAAAGAATATTTGGAATGCTAAAGAGATAAATACACAAAACATGATCTGGGCATCCAGTGACACTGAAAGCTGTAACTATAAGTGCTATAGTTTTTACCTTCAGCACTTCAAAAAATTTGTTAAAAAAATAGAAGCATTAATATTTCTCAAAAAATGAATTTGCAGAATTCAACTGAAACATCACTTAGGATAAATTTGTTGCATGTGTAAAGGAAGAAACATGGGCCTAGAGTAACCCCAGCTCACTAATTCCTTTGAATACTCAGTGTCTATGTAGAATGATTTCCCTCAGTTCTCCGAGCCACCCTCGACTGTAGCTGGAGCTGGAGCTAAACTGTCCACTTCAGCTAGATTCCTACACATATAATCACTGTCATCCTTGTTTTTGGACACCTCAACCATCAGTTCTCTTTTTCTGAGCATCCATCCATGTAAGGCACAAAAGAACTGTGGCTCTCAATTCACACAGGGAAATACCAGATTTGCAGTAGCCCAGACATTTCAAGTTTTAATTGTTGTTTTAACTATGAGACTGCCTCCCCCCCTCTACCCACACCTTCTCCTTTCTTTTTAGTTCTTAATTAGTGATAGAATTTAGTCTCTGGATACTTGCAGTAGAGCTCATTTCTGGAAAGGAAGATCAAATCACAATGTAGCACTGAGAAAGTCTTTTCAGGTTGAGAAGTTTCCTCAGAACCCCAAGGAACTCCTTGCTATCCTTTCTCTTTTCCAGGCTATTTTCCTCTTCACCAAACATGTAACAGTTTTGAGAGAGTAGACATATGATCTCTCATATACTTAACATCACTCCAGAGCCTCAACTTCACCAAGTGAAAGTGATGGGCCTACGATGGCCAAAGCAAAAAGAGTTCTGAGAAGCAAATCTGATTAGGTTGAGGTAGCTGGGCCTTTGTTTTTCAGAAGTAGTCTTTTAGGATGCTATTTTTACATACAAAAAAATATATATATGTGTGTGTGTGTGTATATAATATTATATCATATTTTTATATATATATTTTTCAGAACTTCTTACGTTTTTTAGGATTTGCCGTACAGCAGGTGAATCAGGAGCAAAGAGAATTTTTCCCATCAGCAGGGGCTTCACAGTACTCCAGGCTATTTTGGTTAAAGGGTTTGATTCCAAGTTCTGGATCAATGCATTACAAAAGGGTGCTAAAGACAGACAGAAATACAGTTTTATGTAACTCTACCCAAATTCTCTCATACATAGCATCCTGCAGGGATTTTCACTGGCAATGTGGACAGTTTAAAGCATTTTAAACTTGAACAGGCTAAGCATATTTTGCAGTGAAGAACTACAACTTCTGAATGAAATGGAAAAGAATACCAAGTAGATTTTAGAGTTGCAAAATAGACCTCAGGGAATATAGAAGAGAAAACAAACAAATTTCACCATTCAAAAGTTGCTATTATTTATAACGTATTTCAAACTGAAAGAAATTAGAGAGCTCAATATCCCTCTGATCACCTTTTAGTTCCAGTTGATTTTCTTCTGATGACTTAACTTCCTTGCATGGTAGTTGATACTAATATGAAACTATTTTTACACCTATCAGTGGTTAATGCACACACAAAATAAAATGCTGGACTGGAGATCCAGCAGGCTCGGAACCAAACTCTTGTTGAGCCCTGGAAGTGTTCAGAACTGGATCCTACAATAATTTGGGTTAAACGCTTTGTATGTAAACATTTCCATCTTACTAATGTACTAGTAAGTATTATACCTGGACAGCATTCAAATATTTCGTTTCCTGGCTGAAGAAATGGAGGCCTTGTGGAGGTTCAAACATGAACAGAGCCAAGTATCAACAGGAGTGGGGAAGGGTAGGAGTGCCTCTACAGGCAAAAGGCTCGCCTGTACTTTAAGACAACCATATCTGTCATAGCAGAAACAACAGAGAAATCCAATACCGGCTATGATACAGCTGCTGGTATAGCAAAAATTGCTGGTGGTCTCAGTCTAAAGGAAAACTAAACAGCAGACAGAAGGAGGCATAATAAAGAGACAAAATAACAAATGGCAGAAAAGAAAAATCAGTTACTCTTTGCAATCTCTCCTAGTACAATAGCAAGAAATGAGGAAACTGAAGAAACAAAATTTAAAACTGATTAAAACAGATTAAAATTCCAATACTTTCACATAAGATTTAATTATACTGTAGAAATCATTGCTACAAGATACGTATATTTTTATGCAGGAAGAGAACAGCCGCCATATATTAAATTAAGTATTATTTAAAAGGAGAGACTTAAAAATTCCTGTGCTCCAGGTCATAAATCAAATTGATAGACTTTCAAAGAAATTTTCCTGAGGAAAAGTAATTTCAGAATACTCCACTAAGAAGTTTCCTGAACCTTCTTCAGGAGCATCTAGTCCTGTCCAATAGCATTAGAAGATATTAGAAAATAAGACAACCTTAACTATTATGATGATTTTATGCCCTCCTATTAAAAGTTAACATGTATTTCAGTCGGTTCTCAATTCCACGGCTTCTCTGCGTCCAAGAATGAAGATGAAGTAAAATAGTTTCAATCGTCTCTAATTTCCCAAATCAATTGCTTTAAAATATTATTCTGTAAAAGCAATGCTAGTATTCTAACATAACCCCCACCTGTCTACACTGTGAAGGTTTGGTGAAAAAACTTACTGGTTGTATTATCATAACGATAACTGGATTTCTTCTTTGTGGTGTCAATCCCCAGGAAAGCTTTGTAGTTATTATCTTCATACCAGTTGAAGGAAAGCACTCTGGATCCACCTTGTTCTGGGTAGCCACAGAAAAGATCAGACAGGGAGTTCACCAAGTGGCCTAAGGATTCTGGCTTTCCATCTTGAACAAACGGTTGCAGAACCACCAAAAGGTCCTGAATACTTGGCTTCCTGGCTAGCTGTAGTAAAACAAGACTTATTAATTGCAATTGCTTAAAGGAGAAAAGTATTTGGAGAGGTCTTAGTTGTGCCCAGACTGGTAAAGTCTAGATGCAGTCAGAACCTGGTCCTGCTATCTCCTCTGTCCTAGCCATACGCACTATTTTCAGTTTTTATTCTCTCATGCCTTTCCTGAAAGGATCAATAAGCTTTGTAACCATCAATGTCTACACCCATTCTGTACTGAGTTAAAAATGAATTTCTAATGAATCATCTCTTCCCAACCAAGTCTATTTTCTTTCCAATAAAGCAGGTAACTGGAACACAAATGGCACAAAGGAAAAGGAGAACCATGCACTGCCCAGAAAAGCAATCCCATCTCTTATCAGATCACTTACCTCTTGCACTGCTTGGGCAACATTAGACAGCACCCTCCCCCAGGACCTCAGATCAGCCCCTCGTGAGTTTCTGTCCAACACAGTGGGAAGCTGTGAACATGTCAGAAAGACAGATGAGATTTGTCTAGCTTCTACATGACAACAGCTATTACAGTTAAGTGAAGAAAATCCTGTGATAGCAGCTCTTTAGCGCCAGTGCTTTGAGCTATTTGGAACACTGCCTTGTGTGTTCTGCAGGACCGCAAATCCATTGCCTGTGCATAGACTCACACAGTAGCCTGAGTAATTGTTCTTACTAATATGAAGCTGAAACAGTCACAGGCCATTGAAAATACAACTTAGGATCTGTTTTGCTTACCTAAGCCTGTCATGACAAAGTTACAGAAGTGGAGAAGGAATGCAGGAACTAGGATTTATGAGGAACTGCTTCTCACAGAGGCTCATCTTTCAGTGAGATGTATAGACTCTTGCTAACTTCTGAATTTAGCCAGCGCTGTGATTCAGAAGCCCCTGCTTGCCATAGAGGCAAAATACCTGGTAGTACTTTACAACCATGAGACTTCCCGATTTCAGAGACAGTTTGTTCCTCAATGTCTGTCAGAAATGGCAGAGACAGAGGATCCTCCACGCTTCTGCAAACAGGCCCAATGGCCTTTCCCCTAGAAGCTAACACCTCAGTTATTGCTGGCGTTTTAAGAAACAGGTGCCACCACAGCGTGCTGTCACATACCACTGTGCTTCCAGCACTGCATCCCTGTCAGCTGTCTCAAGAACCAGATTTGCACTAGCAGTTAGCACTCTGAGGCTTTCTCAAGCATCTATTTCTTTGGGTATTACAAAATATAAAGCTGGACTTTTAAATAGCCAGACTGTAAAATTTACAAGATCAAATCCTAAAAAAATTTCCCCAAAACTGCAGCTGTACACCTTGCTGGTTCCCTGCAATTCATTCCAGTCAGTAGGTAATTAAGAAAACAGAAGACAGCTGCACTGTGTAGGTACCTGGCAGGGAATCACAATGCAAGAGTTTTTATGGAAACCTCATGTTAGTATGTTCCAATCTGTCACTTGCAGTCCAGGCAGGAAGTATACACAAACACCGAGTTAAAACATGCTTTCCCTGTGGCCCCTGCGGAGAACCAGTCTCTGCATAGATTAAACTGGATTCTTTAACACTTGTCTTTACCCAGCTCCTTTGAAACTGAGCAACAGGTGTTGTAAACAATACAAAGCAAACCAGAGAAAAGCTTAGAGTATATATGGAATTAAGAACTTCCTTCCCGTAGTTAGAGGAGGAAAAAAAAAAAAAAAGAAATAGAAGCAAAGTTGTACGTATTTAGTTCTAAATCTTACTTCTTGTAGTAGGCATTCAGTATGAATCAGGTCTAAATAGAAATGCTACTAATAAAATTTATACTCAAGTTCAAGAGAACACGTTAAGAAGGATCAGCAGAGATCATGCACTCATTCCCCCTAAATATCAGCATACAGTCAGGAATGTACATAACCTCTCAGCATAGCATGGGATGAAAGCTTTCCCCAAACTGCTTATCCGAATGCTTTCATAATCCCTGGAAGTAAATATCATGTCATGGAAAAAGGAAGAACATGAAAACTGAAGAGTTTCTTTGGGCCAATAAAACGGCCAGTTCTGGAATACCCAATCCATTGCCCACCCTAAAAATGAGGCCTACTCACTTAAGGAGCTCTAAAAACAAATTCTGATATGTGGTTGGTTATACTGTACAACTGTAGCCTGAGGACCATGCAGTAGAGAGGGTCTGACAGTGCAAGAGTGCAGGAAATTACCTGGCCTGGAATACACAGGTATTTCTAATGTAGAAGTTCAATTTTAAAAGTGAATGAAGATTCATTCTGCACATGCAACTATGTACAGAGTTACACTCCGCTTGCTTACATATCAAGTGCATGTAGTCACACTGATCAAGACAGTAAGGCATTAAAAAGCTCTATTTTCATACATTTACTAAGGTTTAAAGAACTTCAGTGTCTCAAATAAAGCTTAAACAAGCAGGTTTAATAACAGCAGTGTTTCAGAAAAAAGCTTAATTTCCTCACTGCAGTTGAGCCAACCGGAGAGTAAAGGAAGGGGGCTTGATTTTTCAGTCTCCGTCTTGCTATCAAAACCGTGAGCTGCTTTAAGTTCTGCCAACAAGCCATGGAGGTATACATGTACACATGATGGATTTGAGTGTGCGTTTATGCATGTACATACCTGAATATGCTAATCATAAACGTAACACAAAATATTTATTTCATGGTAGGGGAGAAGTACATCACAAAAGCAACTGTGGCAAAGAATGCTTACGCACAGCCTACCTTTTATACCTTTATATTAGCCTACCTTATAAAAGTAACTGAAATGGATTTAAAAGAGGGACTTTTGTCTTGAAAAAGCAAACAGTTTTTTTTTTTTTTTTTTTTTTAAACATTTATAAAGATGGCAGTGTGGGAAAGCCTCTACCAACTGGAGGCCTCAATGTGCTAGGCATCAGGAAAAGATATTCCCCACCCACAGCAGGGTGCAAATTAAAACCACTGGGAATGCTGGGAATGATGCTATGAACACCCTTCCAACAACAAATTTCCATCATATAGGGGAACTCTTGGCAGATAGATCTTGTTGCAGTATCAGACCAGATCATAAACCTTCATCTGAACACCCAGCCTTTCACACCTCCTAATTTTGGTTTCAGGTACATCTTCCTATTTCCCACAACGGTCTATTTTTGCTTAAACAAGAACAATTGCTTCATCAAATCTCATCTTTCCATTTTTTTTGATATGGCAGCAAAGTCATGATGTTAGCAGCTTAATTCTAGAGCTGGACAGTGCAGCGCACATTTACATGAAATTCTGAAGTGCTGAAAGCCTACATTAAAGGTACCGTAGAAATAACTCTCTGCTACTGTCGACAAGCACCAGATATATTAAAATATGTGAAGCATATTTTTAGAAACCGAAAATAGTCAGAAGCTGACCACAGATTCTTATCAGGACTGGCAGTAACACATGGGCATAAGTAGTAACTGCCAATGTTACAGTACTCTGATTCAGCTTGTGTGTCAGTTAAAACTTCTGGCATCTTCTGTTCCCCTGTTTTGCGTAACTCAAGACTGAATTTAAGCCATATTAACTTAATCATGATATTACATTATTATTACATCATTATTGTAGCAGATGAGTCTGATCAATACTTTCTATATAACTTTAGCATCTGCTCATATATCCTGCCTGCTGTATGAAACAAACCACCAATGCGATGATCTCATGACATTAAGTTACAAGACGAAAAACGGCAAATTAAATTCAGTGTTGAGAATTGCAGTGTCATGCACATGGGGAACACCATCACTTCGGACATATATATAGTGATGGGCTCTACATTTGCTATTATGAGGAAAGAGGCCTTGGAGTCTTTATGGATAATTCTCTGAAAGCATCAGCTCAGTGGTCAGAAGACGAGTGGAATATTAGAAATTATTAGGCAAGAACAGAGAGGAAAGGCAAAAAATACACTACGTCATTAGAGAAATTCATGATGCATGCAAATTCTGAATACTGGGTGCAGTTATGGTGAATTTATATCAAGAGGGACACAGTAGAAACAGAAATGGCACAAAGAAAGGCAACACAAATGAACAGAGGTAAGGGAAAGCTATAGAAACAGTGATGAAAGTACACTTCTAAAAATTGGCTGATGTTTATAGCACAGCTGGGTATCCCAGCACAAGCTGAGTCACAGCTTTGACTTCAGAATAGACAGCCTGCTGAATATGCTGGACAGAGGAAGCACAGGATAGGGTATGGGGTCTTTCAGTCCTTTCAGCAACGTCAGGCTAGGTATTACCACACTATTTTGTTATACAGATAGAAAAGGCCAGATAATAGTGCTATGCTCTCCTATTTTAAAATTGCACTTGGCTCTTTTAGTTTTGTTGTACTGTGAATTTCATGTTTCATCCTAAAGCATTCTCAGAGCAGCATAGCGTCCTGCTGATGGCAGGTTAATAACTGGACATCTATACCCATCCAAGCTTATGTTTGCTGGGACAAATAATCCAAGACAGCTTGGAACCCTGGTGATGTATTACAAAGAAAATTCTTGAAGGGGAATGAAATATCAGCTGGAAAATAACAACATAAAACAGGATGATTATGTTAATACTTACCAGCTGAAACAGCTTAAAGAAATCAACATTTGCATACAAGGCATCTTCTACTCTCTGTAGGCTTTCCTGGGAAAGGGCACACATGGCCCTGTGCACAGAAGGAAGGCCCCTTCGGCTGTTGAAGATAATAAAGCGTTCCAGGAGCATCTGACTGCAAGCAATGTCCTTCAGAGTCAGGTTAGGGACACCATAGGCAAACTGCAACCAAAAACAATGCTTCATTTACTCTTGCTGAACATTCAGACTTCTCAGGAACAACGAGAGATTTATCAAAAGCACATACCTTGATTTCAGCACCTACTAATGTTTTCATGAATTGCAAGAGGATGTGGTCAACTGAAGCAGCAACTCTTGAACCACTTTCACTTAATGTTATGCTAGATCTCCTCACCTTCAGACAGGTTCCTCATCTTCTCACTAGTGATTCTTCCTTTCATTGCAAAGTTCTTGAGAGCCTTTTTCCCCTTTCTCTGTCATCTAAGCCTACCTCATGCCACACCACCCATTGTTATGGTTAAGGAGGGATAGCTATGGCTTGCTTGAAAATGCTTCTCCAGGACCAACCAAACGTGCCACATCACTATCTTTCTATTTATTATGGTTGTTTTTGTTGTCAGCTCATTAAAGAGAGAAGGCCAGTTCCACTGATTATCAAGCTTCATTTCACTATTTCAGTTATGATTCTTCTACGCCAATGTTCCTCCCACAGCCACTAATCATTTTCACTGTGTGCTGGCATACAGCCAGACTTTAAAAAGCCTTTTTACATTACACTGCACCCAACATACTGATTAGGAGTTCTAATATAAACATGGAACTGAAGAAAAGAATTATCTTTAGTGCTTAACCACTGGGAACAGATTGGTTTATAGTTAAACTAATGTAAATACAGAATAATTCCACAGAAACTAATAGATTTACCTGGGATCTATATTGCTGCAATGGAACGTGCTTGGAAGTTCTAGAATTCAGTTCTATTTGCTTTCTAATGGCCAGAATACACGGCAGTAAAATAAAAAGTGGTACTGGAAATTGTTCATAAGCTGATTTTCCTATCCTCTGTTCACTTCCTTTAGTGGTTCAAATTGTATAGAAAAAGTTCATAATACTGAAAATTCGAAAAGCCTACAGCGTGAGACAAACAACTTTAGACAAACGAGAAATGTGCATTGACGCAATATCATTAGGTTAAATTAATTTTTAAAATCGCATATAAAAAAATGACAAAATCTCCATAGAATACAACTTTCTACAGAAAAATCACCTCCCAAGGATTCTACACCTCAGACATCTGGATCAAAATGAACACATCAAACCTACAGCAGGTCAGATTTAGGTGCATTTTTTATTTCCTTTCTAAGCAAATTAACAAGACCATTCAAGAGATTCTGAACATTATCAAAGTTTTATACCTGCAAATCTCCTACAATTAGCAGCTGAGACTTGTTTGGTGAGGCCTGTAAAGAGAAATATTTAAAAATCTAAAAGAATGAGATGAGTTGCTTTGAAGACTGGATTCAGGCTTTGAGGAGTTACTCACTAAGTAATCATTCAGATGTCAGAAGCCATCAGCAAAACTGCAACTGTAACTGTAGGGAGTCAGCATCCAGGATAGGAAAAGCAGGAGAAGAGAGGTCTAGCAAAGTACTGTATTCTGTGTACTATAACTGCCCTGAATTTTAGCTTATGGTGTTGCACCTAACAAAACAGTGCACCGTAACACACCTGGAGCTCTGTGTGTGTGTGCGTGTATGTACATGTATGTGTGCATGCATATATGTGCATGTATGTGTGTGCGTGTATATATGTGTGTGTACATTACATTTTTAAATATATTTATATTATTATTATTTATATATTTTAATATATTATTTATGTATTTATATTAATTATTATTTTATATATATATATATTTTAGAGGCTGAGTTTCACACAGATGCTGTATCAAAATAGCTATGTCAGAGAGGGATGTGAATGTCTAGTAAAAGTACCTGACAGGTATAGTCCCTACCATCACTACAGCTGTGCCAATATAAAGGCCTCTTTCATTAGCAAAATTAATTGCATCTGCACTAGAGAGTCTAACTACAAGTAACGCAACAAATACTTAGAGAGTTTGAAGGTATAATACAAATTAAAAGAGGTCACTTGTGAAATTAAGCACACTACAGTAATTAAACTAATTATCTCCAGTCAGTTTTCTCATCCTTTACACCACTGCTTATTCTTTGAGAATACACAAAGTCCTGCTTGTTCTTTGAGAATACATGCAGTCCAAACTATTGGTCCAGCCAGCATAGGAAGTAAAGGTTTTCTCTTTGCAAGGGACTATTTTGCCCTAAGTAGATGTAGCACAGTAAGTACTTTAGCCCAGTCAGCAACACTGATAATCAATTTTCAGACATTAAATGTGACAAATCAATGGAGCATGGCCTCAGATAGTGCCTTTCCACCACACAATTTCCCTTACAGAGGAATCTGCCACTGCAAGTATTACTGAGAAAGTGAGACTTACTTTACAGCAAAGCCCAAACTCACGTTAAGAACGATGCACTGACAGGGCACATATGCTGCATTTTTAACACAAGTTAGACAGTGTAGAGAGAGGCAGAATGAAGAAGAGGAAATGCAATTGACGGATACAGTCTAGCTTGCATTAAAACACTGAAATCTCAAACTGTCCCAAACAAGAACAACTGAGTTTGATTGAACTGGTCTGATATAAACAAAGAAATTTGCTTAACTGCTCAGTCACTACAGTTCTGGGAATTTATGTGAGAAAGAAGCAGCATTTTTAACTGTACGTGATCCTCACCATGCAGTGTGAATTGCAACGAAGCTGAGCTGCACAGGAAGGCAGCCTGGGAACTTTGTTTTGACTTGTGAAATGAGGAAACTGTGACATTAACATCATTGACAAGGATTAAACACAGAGAACCATAAAGTTATTTACAAACCATTGCTGCATTTCAAGAATGTCCACGAACAGATGGGATTAGAAAAACATCGAACCTCCGCCCTTCCAATTTTTCCGGTAGGGTGGGCTGTTGCCAATCTTTCCTGAACTTTTTATTGTGTTTTAGCATCAGCCTCTTATCCTTATCTTAGAACGACTCAAAAAAGCAGCTCCTTAGAGGAAAACTTTAATATTTTTTAACATGTCACTTTTTGGCCAAAGCAGGCAAGATGAAGTCCAAATTATTTTTTCAGCTAGTTGCCTGTTGGATCAGTTTTAGCTTTCAGCTTTCTGTGTCATTTCCTGCACTCCCAGGCTGCTCAGAGCTAGATCTGCAGCCAGCTTTGGCAACAGTCAGGCTCTTGTAAATAAGCTGCTTTCAGGTTGATCAGCTCTATTCCATCAGAGCTGGGGAAGAGAAAGTGAACTGCAATATGCAAGTGAATAGAGGGTAGAGCAGCAGGAAGAACTGGAGACGAAGCGTCATGGCTAAGGCTCAAGACAAACTTAGATCTAGGTTCTAGTCATGGCTCTGCTACTTCTAGCTCAACTGACCATAAGAAAGTTACTTGGGCTGGATTCATCAGTAATGCTTAAAAGGGTTAAGTGATTTATGCCCTGTAGAAGAGCAACTGCCCTGTTCCTATTGAAAATAATTCTTTAACAGTCTTTTGAAAACTATGAGATTAGGTTTTCTGCCTCATTTGCTCTTGGAGGAAGGACTCATAACTGTCAATCAGCTGCTGTGAGGCGATCTCGTAGCCCCGTGATTAGTGCTAACAATAAAACTTCACAATAGGACAGTAAAAGTGGTATTTAACACCAGGTCTCCTCCAGCTTTCTCTCTAATCGGTGCTCAAATTTCTTTAATTTCTAGCATTGAGAGAACTACATCTCTCTCAACATCAGCCCAGAAAATACAGTAGAAAGACACCATGTTCCAGCAGGTCTCAGTCATACTTAAAGTGATGGTATTGAAAACACTTCAGTCCTGCCATACACTGGCAGCCAAAGATTTTTCAATAGTAGATGAAAGGCGGCCACTGGGAAGCTAATACAGACTACCACAGTCAGCAGCATGTAGTTCTCCCAGTGCAGTAGACCTCTAAGGAAGAAAAGGTTTGGGGGGTAAAGGGGAAATGAAGCCCAACAGGTTATTTATATACCTACTTCTTGTCATGAGCAGTAAGGAAACAAATTTTCAACCATCTCAGCTGATATGGAGGTGTGAAAATAAGTGGGGTATATCAATTTAGACTGGTGTGAAATGGTCTTGTGGCATTGCTTCATGACAAAGTGAGGAGAGGGGAGGGCTTTCCCTAGTTCTAGCCCGAAATACAGCAGATAAGCAATCTGGCTCCTAGTCACACCAGCTGGAATTTCTGTTGTCCAAAAAGAACCAAATGCAAGTCCATTAATCCCCTCTCTCCTTCTGGACACACGCAGTTCCAGTATTTGGGTTTCATGTGGTGGTGAAAAAGAGGAATTGTGTTGTCGTTTATTCCCTTCCTTCCACCTACACATTAATGCAGCGTAGAAAGAAATTGTTCCAGAGTTCTGATTCAACACCATTCACTCATGAACACAACAATCCCTGCAGAGCTCCCAGCCACCAGTACATGCAGATGCACAGACAGTCTGGACTTTGTTAAACACAGTTCCCTGCTTAGTTGCTTCAGGAGTGATCTGACCTGCAGTTTTCACTGCGAATTTGCTGCAGTAGATTTATTACTCAATAGGAAAGAAAGTAGGTCTGCTCTTCCGCTCTCACCTATTAATGTGAAACAATCCCATAAAGCCACTGTGTTACTCGGCTTACACTGGGGAGGAGAATTTAAATGTTTCAGCCTCAAGTTCTCTGCAGCTATTCACCAGGGCTGCTGACTTGAAATGGTGCACAGCTGCTTTATACTTCTGTGCCAAGTCTTTTATCATGGGGACAGATTCATTGCTTGGCAGCATCATTTTTTGATGCTTGTTTAGTTGTTTTGACAACTAAATAGACAAATACTTCTATTTAATGCATCTTCAATATGTTTTTTTAAAGACAAAACAAACACCCCTTCCTCCAAATCCACAAAAATGAGGGAGGAATTGGTGCAAACAACATACAAGGCAACAGAAATTCTAGGCACAAGGCCCTCAGTGAGGCTACTTTGCATATACAACTCAAGAGATTACATTCTACACAGATAAGAGCTTGTAGCTCTTACACTCTACCCACCTGTTCAGGGCGCACTTGAGCATTAATAAGCTGGAAAACAACATCATCTGGGAGGTCAGCATCTTCCAGCAAGAAGGAAGTGAGAGTCTCCCCATCTTTCAAAATATCTAGAATTCGTATCCCTCTTCCTGGATGCAGAAAGGAGTGCAGAGATGAATGACACAAAGTGAGTTAAATAATTTCAGAAACCCTGGCTTAAACCTGCAAAAATATATATGTTTGGGCTCAGATGTTTAGTAGTGAGAATGGGATCCACAATGATTTTTGAAATTCAAAATGATTTCAATCCTTTACTGGGGAGCGTTTATCAGAAAGTGTTGAACACTCCTGCTCAGCAGGACTCCAGCAATGGAAGGATTGAAGGCATTTCTTGTTGCATTTGAAATACTCTGCCTTTTTTTTTTTTTTTTTTTTTTAAGTAATGCTTTATCTTAAATATTCAGCTTCAAGTGTGCTACTGTTATTAGTGTCCCAGTGGAGGTTCCATTCTGCTGGACCTTGTATGAATAATCCATTAATTTTTACGCTAATTTATCATGTTCTGTCAATAATTTTAACCGGTAAATCTGATTATTTAATTTTGCAGAAATGGCCTTTGAAAGTCTTTCACAAGCAAAACGTCATATTTTCCTCAGAGAAGCATTGATGATTTATAGTTTAATAGTTATATTACCCATTAAACTAAAAACTGCCAAACTCACTACTAAAAGGGTACCCACTGTTAAGCTAAATACACATGAAAGGCCACCAAATTTCACTAATCCCATCCATCAAAAGCAATATTCAAAATACTGCTGCTCTTAAAGTCAGTGGTGCAAAAAAAAATCCCAAATAAACAAAAACAAAAAAAACCTTTCCTCTGTTATGAATCGGTATTAGTGAGAATTCTGCCTCAGTATGGTCCAACTGAAAATTTGGAAAGTGGATGTGGTTCACGTCTTTTGAATACTACAGCCTTTACTAAAGTGGTCCACATAGCACCACCACACATAGGTTAGGAATGCACTTCCAGTCTTAGAAACAGGAATTTGAAATTGATAGGAGCAGCAGACACCACACTGACAGGAGGGATGTAGCTTTGGACATCTCCATGTAACCATGCACAAATTTGTTGCTGAAAGTCTCCATTTGTTTGAGCTCAGTAGAGTCTTAAAGAGTTTGACGACTTTTACAATTTCATCTGCATCAAGCATGGTCTGCCCTGGGGTAGCAGAGGCTTAGCAGGACTTCTTCAGCAATTGCCTCTCCACGTATTTGTTCAAATACTAAACACTGAAAACAAGAGCGGGGACCTGTTTCTTTCCCATGTTCTCTTTTTTTCCATAGTACTCAGGCACTGTGGAGGAGAACACAGACTACGGGAATACATCTTAGAAAATGTGGTGATGCAGGGGTGGGAGTGGGAAGAGGAGGAAGAAGGACTCAAGAGATGGATCTGTTTGAAGGAACCAGGAAAATGAACGACCTTGTGACGTATGTTAATTTTTCATTGTTCAGCTTTGCAGCTATAACAAAGTTGTCAAGTTTCTTACAGGCAATAATAGCGAGTTATGCACAGACCTTCTGCAGTCAATTTTGCAATAACTCTATATGGAAAAAAATTCACATTTTGTCACTAGAGGTGTCACTTCAGCACTGACTTTTTTTTTAAACTTTGTTTTATGCAACAGAACATTTTAATATCTATTTTTAAAATAAATTATATTAAAAAAATATTCTAAATCCATATTAGCATTATACAGGAGTTGGGAGGAATATACTCTGTTTTCTGACTGCTGAAGTTGATATGGGATGCAAAGGCAAGTTCCAAGACCATGGGGTATGGCCTTCTGGCTCTATGCAGCAAACCCATGGTGCTTTGTTTTCCATCACTTCTGAAGAGATAGGTTTGGTTTCTATAGCTGCTTCCAAAATACAGCTCAGATTATACTTGAGTTTTCATTATTTGCATTCTGGGGCATTTTGATCTTCCCACTATTTATAATTAAATAGTCCCTTTCTTAACTTCTAGTTAGAAATCTCCAGTGAGATAGTGGAGCACATATATCAGATGATTTATACACATTTTCTTCCTAAAATGTATGCAGGGTCACAATATTTGATTTTAACAAGAATATTATTCCTATGGCTAAGGACTTGAAGATGAGAGAGATCAGTTCCCAAAGCCAGTCTATTTTTATATCATTAGTTTTGGGAGTATCTTTTCATATTTTTTACTAAAACATTTTAAAGCCCAAATATGAATTTTAAAATTATTAGCCCTTTCCCTATTTTTTCCCAGGATAGTGTTTTGAGTGTGGTTTAAGTAAAAAATTGATGGAGTCATAATTTGCAATCCTGTTTGTTTATAAAAAGAGTACAGTGTCTCTTCCCTCTAAACAAAGAAATAATCAAAACAACAAAAAAGTGTTTCTTTCCTCACCGTTCCAAATCTATTTCAGCTAACACTTGAAACAAAAAAGTTTCTCTCTTTTAGTTTCTCTTCTCTGGGCTATGCTCCTAACATTTCAATTCTGCATCTTCCACTGATGCTTTCTTACTGCTTTTACTTCTACTATAATAGTGAAATCTCTCCATCCACACGTCCTATTTTAGGTGGTGAGATATCCATGTTTTTTGTTTCGAGTGTTGTCTATTGTTATTTAAGGTAGCTGGTTGTATAAAGAAGCTGAATGCCTCTCCTATTGCTCACGTGAAAGGTGCTTTTTTATACTACCGTTTACAATGAGCTTTAACTTACCCTCTAACAGTAAATAGAGTGACAGCCTGGTGTGACATACAGTTATAACTGTTGTTAGTCTCTACAAAGTAAGAGTCAGCTTTCAGAAGGAAAAATCCAATAGTCCAAAGGATATAGACAAAACAATTACCTGCAATTCTTTCAGGATTAGTTCTCATTGTTTCCATAAACTGAGTCATAATGATCAGTTCTTCCCAGATTCTGCCAAGGTCATGGATTTCAGGGGCTTTCAGTAAGAGCTCCTGAGCGTCTTGATATACTCTTGCAAGGCTGAAATGAGAAGTAAGGAATAAATAATAATTTAAGAATGACGACTCAAAAACTTTCTCATTTAAAAAAAATTGAATTTCTGTGTGCTAGGGATGAGGAAAAAATACATTATTTTGTCCTCAGTCTTGAAACATTAAAGCTCAGTTTTGTGGTGATCACAAAGCACTTTCAGGTGTTGTGATATTGAGCTAGGTTTCGGAGAAACCACAGAAGGTGTGAGAGGGTTCCTAGTGGGGCAGAAGTGAAAGAAATCTCTCATGATCTTTACTCTCTTATTAGCCATGTTGATCTTCTGGGAAGACAGGACCTTCCCCAAACCACCTTCACCTCACAGCTATGGTGCAAATATACTCTAGTTCTGGTTCAGGCTCAGCTTTAGCAGATGGATGGGGCATTCAGGGCACAAGCAGCCCTGCTCAGCTGGATAAGGGACATGGAAAAACTCCAATACAGAATCCTTTTCTTTCTTTCTCTCTCTCTCTCTCTCATTTAAAACCCCTCCAATGTCAGAGTGGCTTGTAGGTCCTTTCAAAACATTTTGTCTGGCAGAGGTGGGAAAACAGCAGTGACCAATTTTGCCATAGGCAACCATTTACAACTTAAGATGGTTGTGGATTAGAAGATGCGGTTCAAGTAAGGTTGTAGTCAGTTCCTATGCTTGTAAGCAAGTACAAGGAAAGTTCTTACTAGCAGCAGTAGAGGCCAAACATCTAGGAATTCATCTGGCACAGGCTCTTTTTCCTTTTGCAGTAAAGCTGAGATTGAACATATACCTGTCATGAAGCACTGCATTTCTTTAAGTGTGTTACGTGTTTCCATACACAGAATGATAACTCTCAGAATACATGACTTATTTTAGCTTACAGGAAACAGCAAACAGGAAGGACCAAATTCTTTCAGAAAACACAATGTATTTGCTTCCTCTGTAATGCACTGAATTTACTCTGACTCACAAAAGGACAGTCAGGACTGTAATAAGCAACCTGGAAAAGCTACAACACATAGAAAACAGAGCCCCTCGGCTTTACTGTGTGACTGACTGTACTCCACAAGAAATGTAACTATTTTAAATCCTGTTCACTAGGAATAAAAGGTAAAATGCCAGGTTAACTCCAAGCTACTAAATTCCATATGACTGCAGCTTTGATAGCCTTGATATTGTTGGCTCATAAATTTTTATCTTTAGATAATGCAAAGGGGAGTATTTGCAAAGGGGAATTTGGAGCATTTTTGTGTCTATTTTAACAAAACGTTGCAATTGCCCTCTCTTCACTCTAATGGCCCTTGTCTACTGCACTGTCTTTCATGACTCAGCTGTAACAAATAATGCACTAAAGCTCTCACACAGCTCTTTTTCACTGAATGGTCAGGATAACCTCCCATTTTGTTAGTAAGATAGCTTCAGATACAAAGCTTAGTATCTAAACTGATTGAAGCCTCTTAAGTACATTATCAAGACAGGGAAGCAACAATATGGGAAGTAGCAGTGCAGATTTTCCTTCACTGCTACTTCATCAGAGTCTTAATTCAGTAGGAATGGCTCCAGTGATGAGAAAAGACAGCTTAAGAATTTCATAGTCTTATATCAACAAGACTTTGTCCTGAGATATTCACTAACCAGTATGTAAGGGAAAGGATGGATTTTGTGCTATGAATAACATGTTCCTTAGAGACTAGTAGAACTGAACTCTTTGAGAAAAACCCAGGCCTACCATAAGCTGCTATGTTTGGATTTGCTGACCAGTTTTGGAAATAAAAACATCTGTGCTAGAACTGAAAGCTTTCCTCTTCCAGATTTGTACTCTGAAGACTTCTTGGACGCTCCATTCTCCCTTTTCATTCACACTACAGAACAGTTCTATAAAATATCCCTCAGCACCCTGAGGCACCATTCTGAGCAGGCTGAGGATACTCCATCCTTTCTCCCCACATCATTCATGCCCAAGAAATACCTGGCAGGTACCAAGGGCAGGCTGTCAGCAGCTGCCTAATAGGCCCTTTTTACTGCAGCCCAGTCTCTCACACAGAGCTCTGCTTACACAGAATTGTTGTAGTTGGACACAACACCAGGACCCTCTCCATGGGTAGGGCTGCGGAAACAAGGGTTGTTCATGTTGCAGAAGATGCCCTGTAACCACGGCAGTGTTCCTGCAGATGGCATTGCCTTGTTTGGGAAGTGACCTAGAGTATGGAAACACAAAATTTGAAGAATTAGGTGTCTTTACTAATGCTCCAGTGTGAACCCAAAAAGCATTGGGGGTTAGATCACTGTACAAGAAATGCCATGATAACCATAAAGATCTCTCTTTTACTAAGCAAAAAGTTGAATAATTTGTATAGGCTTTTCAAGAGTAATCAACACTGGACTAATTCTGCTCCTATGAAGACTAGTGGTAAAACCACTGTTCTTGTCAACAGGAATAGGAGTGCTGAACACTTTCAAAATTTCCTGAAATAACTTTGAGATAATACAACTAAGCTGGCTAAATAAGCAAACCTGTTATCTCTAGAATCAAGTAATTTATGTAGCCTCTACACTAAACATGCTGAATTCTGGTGTGATTTGCAAAAGTATAGCCCATCTGAGCTCTCCAGCATGAGACCTCAGCAGTAGCATGTAAAAAGGGGGGTTGGGGTTACTGGCAAAGCAAGCAGTATTCATGGCCTCTCAGTACAATTGTAGCTTGAGGTCTTTGGTTTGCACATCCCCAAAGGAGTAAATGGTTACTACCAACTAAGAAAAGAAGCCTATTGTATAAAATTCATATTTGCTCCACTAAGGTCCACTCCTACACTGGAAAATTAACTTTTCACATATCAAAACTTTTGAAAATTACTGACCCAAGCTATATGGCTATTTCTACTAAAATAAATACTGACCTAGCCCCTCCCTGCCTTCTTTTAAATAAGTAGCAAGGCAGTATTTTCTCAGTAGCATAACTATAGAAATTACAGTTCGACAGAATCTTGAGCCCTCATCTAAATCCAACCACGGAGTACCCCACAGGACAATTTGAGGTGATTTTTTTTTTTTTTTTTTTTTAAAAAGGTCATTCTATGTCTATAAATGACTAAATGAAAAAACTACCTGCAGCAAAGGCTGTCCTTCTGCCACTGGGGAATAATACCTGGGAAACAGGGACCAGTATCTCTGCCCGAGACCTTCTAGGCATTACTAGCACAGATATTGAAATGTCTCAAATGTTCTTACATTCATGTTGGCGATACAGTGGATTAGCTTTCCTCAGCCAGACAAGGGCAAGAAACAATGACAGAGGCCATACAAGCTCCACAAGAAAACGAAGCTGGAAAAAAGGAAAAATCCTTTCAAAATAAGTTTTACATATAAACCACGCATAGTCATCAGGGGACTAAATGTTTGAGGCCCTTTCCCACAGCAGCAACGTTCAGTGCAGCACATGCCTGAGGGTATCCCCCTTCCATCACGTTGAAAGAGCATCCAGAAACAATAAGAATTTCATCAGACCTCCACCAAGTATCATCATTAACTCAGTGACCTGCTAAAGAAACATTTAGGGATCCTGAATGAGGTAAGAAGAGGAAGAAGGTAGTGCTAAACCCCCAATAGACCAAATAAAAGTCTAAACAGGTATTGCACAGAGTGGGGGACTCAACAGCAATGCAGAAGAAAAGAACTGGATACAAAAGAGAAAAAAGAGGCTTTTACATACGTTTTAGCAATGCTGAGCTTGTTAGTGGATTGTCAGTGCAGCTTGCTTACCCAAAGGTAACTACAACGGGCCTTAGCATAAGCCTAAATTCTTTAATCTTTACTAATGCCTCCTTTTGTCAACATTCACTTCAACGTTATCAGTTTTCTAATAAAGGTAGACGTGCATACATTAAAGCCAGACATCTTGTTCTGTAACATATAAGACTCCATCTAAGGTCATATTAATCCCTTTATCTTTCAATATACTTAGAACACCTATCAGCTGCTCACCATGACAGAGAATCAATGGCATTGCCTTAGCCACAGAGCAACATCCTGCCTAGTTTTCAGGCTGCTTCCTCCACTCCTGTGTTACTGTTTGTTTTACTGCCTCTGTGTGTTTTGGCAGAGGTTTGAAATTACAGCCCTTTGATTCTGTGACATGGGGTTTGGGCTCTGAGGACCAGCTGTGGTTTTTTGTATCCAGCCACATGAAATTTCTTTCCTTTTTCTCTCCTTCTTTCCCCCTCTCCCTGTAAGAGCTAGGACAGACTCTCCTCAGATCCTGCACTGTAGCACATGCACAGAAAAGCCCTCCTTCCCTGCCTGCCTCCTCTCCTCTCACCTCCCCCACCAGGCACCAAATATATAATAGTATGTACAGCAGCGAAGCCAGATACAAGATGGGTCACATGTGAATGTCTCCCCCCCCCGCCCCAGACTGAGCTATGCAGGGTGAAAAATATCTACAGAATAATTAAGAACAGGTTTTTGGAACTACCCTGTTTTTTCCACTGTAACTTTGTCTTCTAGCTTTAACAAAGCACAGCTTATACTTATGGCCAAAGGGTAGAAAGCTTTTCACCAGGCAACCATTTCTTATTTCACGCATTTCGTCTTTAGGCTTTTTTTTTTTTTTTTTTTTTTTTTAAGTAGAGTAACAACAAAAAAAAGTATCCACCCCCTTGGAAGTTATGCATGCCTGATACTTTTAAAGCTAGACAAAATCTTGCCAGCAGCAAAGGATTGGAGATGACTAAATGTTTAGGCTAGGAAACCCACCAGCTTTTCTCCTTGACAGCTGTTGTGCATACCTCAGGATACAGCATTACAGACCCTTCTTGGGAGCTCATGTGGTCATAGGGTCTGATTAACACCCATTGACATCCATTTAGTAAGATGTTTGGGACAGGCTCTACATGCTCTTCAAGTCAGAGGTCTAAGAACTGGGTAGAGCCCTTCGTTATTGTTTCTGCTACAGAGTTAACCTGTGTTCTTGCTCAGATGTTGGCTCTCATCCCATTCCCAGCTACATACAAAATCCTCAGTCTTGAATTTAATGTCCCTTTCAGTTTGAGCTAACTAGTTGGGATGGGACTGAAGGCTAAAGAACAAGGGAAGCTTTCATTCAAGCTGGTAAACAATGCGAAGAGGACAGATCAAGTGCTGTTAGCTCTCTCACACCTTCCTGAAATACTTTTTTTCCCTGACAACACACATGGAATCTCAGAATTCACTAGAACAGACCAGAGAGCAGCCCACAAGCCCACAGAGGTAAACACCCAGAAGTCCTAGCAACCCAGATTTGTAATACCCAGATGGACCCAGTAATGGAGTGAACTCTGCAATATGATCATTTTAATATACCAGCTTAAACTGGCTGTATGAGCTGCTAACTCTGGAGTGAAGTCTTTCCCCTTTTGAATTAGACTAAATGATGAATTTGGGCAGAAGAGTAGGTATGCCTTAAATGGTACTGCATAATGGTTATCTTTTTAAAAAAAAAAAGGGGGGGGGGTTAATTTTCCCAAAACACATTTTATAGCTGCTTTTGACCCTATGGATTTTTGTTTTGGCTACTTTCCTTCTCTGAAATATTGGGGGGGGGGTTAATTTTCCCAAAACACATTTTATAGCTGCTTTTGACCCTATGGATTTTTGTTTTGGCTACTTTCCTTCTCTGAAATATTCCGG